CCCTGGCAGTGTTCAAGGCCAGGTTGGACACAGGGGCTTGGAGCAACCTGCTCTAGTGGAAGGTGTCCTGGCCCGGGGCAGGGGTTGGAACTGGATGAGCTTGAAGGTCCCTTCCAACACAAACCAGTCTATGGGTCTGTGAAACACTAGGACGGGTCAGCGTAAGGGTTGGTGGCCACCAAAGGATGCAAAGCAGCACCCCAGATCACTTCCCAGCTATTCCTCCCCAGACCCAGCAATCCCTTCTGCTTTAACCTTTGGCTTCATGCAGATAATTTAAGGCCACAAGTTAGGAGACATCCCTGTGATCTAATATTAGATGATAAGCTTGTTTATGTTTTTGTTGCTAAGAGAAAGCTGGAGCTTTGGAAACACTGAAGCAGACCAAACGCTGCTGCAGCAGCTGCTGGTGGGAACCAAAATCCATGGAGGGCTTCCTGACAACTGCTTGCCATTTTCCTTTTTGGTGTTATTTTACTGGACTTGGTCTCCTTCCAAAATAAGCTTTTCCCATTCAGGTGACCCGTCCTCTTTCTCTAGGTCCATGTTTCCTAGTTCAAAAGGTGCAGGCAGCTCCCCAGTCACTAAGCACATCCTGCTGTTGGAACTCACATTCATAAGTAAGGTTCCCTCCACCCACAAGCACAGTGCCTCATCGCTGAGCTTTTTCCTCCCCTCAGCATCAATTGAAGGTGGGAGGATTGTTCTGGTGTTTCTCTTTGCATTACCATAATTCACAGGAGATGGTTCTCTAATAAAAATGCAGGGGACAAACAGATCTTCTATAGTATTTATAGAAACTGATTTGGCAAGAAATGCCAATGCAGTAATATTAATAGATGCTCTTTGGGGCATCTACAAGTACAGTCACAGTCAAGTTCCCTGTCTGCAGGCTGTGCCAAACGTCTAATGGGCTTTGTGGAGCTAAAGCTTCTGCAGCTTGATTCTGGGCTTGCCAAAATGGAGACACTGTTGTGAAACAGGGAGTGTGAACCAAGAGCACAATCCTCACTCTGTTCCTCCTCTGCACAACCTCACTTTGCACCGGACTATCTTTTGGCAGCTCATCTCAATTCAACTGCATGTAGCACTAAAGCCAACTGACCTCTAGCAAAACAAGGAGCTTACCCATAATATTAAACATGTCAGAGCACTCTCTCCACTCAGGAAGGTCTGTCTATTAAAAAGTTATTATTTGAGTTTGGAAGGATCTGATTGCTGAAAACACCCCATGAACTGGCTGCTGCTCAGAAATACACAGTTCATCTGGGTTTCATTTATCACCATTTCCTTTCACTGATGCCAGCAGAAGAGACAGATTTTGCAGAAGTTTATTCCTGTTTGCAGGAATAAATACAGATTGTTTGCTATTTTATTCTAAATGCACGTTTACTTCTGTACTTCAATGCAAATCTCCTTTGAGAAGAGCACCGGCTACCCCAGGTTAATTTCCTCAGTCTTAAAACACCATCATATGACAAGAAAGAAATACCACAAGCAGATCTAGAGGAATTAAAAATGCTGCTACTGCTGGAATAGTGCAGGGTGCAGATGGCAGATTTCTACCTCTGTGCTAAGTCTTCAAGTCAAGGCAAGCTGCTAGAGTGTGGATCACCTCCTGTATCACATATCCTACTCGCCCCAGGAATGTTTGTTTTCCCCCACTAACTGCAAAGGGAATCCAGGGGACTTGTGCAGCAAGGACCTCTCCATTGGGGCACATCATAACTTTGCTGAGCAAAAAATCAGAGGGATGGATTTTCTCCAAATGAGTCTCAGTCCAATGCTCTTTTTTAGATGGGATTCATGTTACAGAACCCAGGGCAAGTGGCTACTGGGCCATCTGTCCTGTCATGGTGAGACACTGGCACAGGGTGCCCAGAGAAGCTGTGGCTGCCCAATCCCTGGCAGTGCTCAAGGCCAGGTTGGACACAGGGGCTTGGAG